ATGTGGTCCCGGTGTCTAGGCCTCGCCCGCTTGGGCTCGCAGGTCTTATGAGACTTTTTCCCGCGCACGCAGCTCCCATTGCTACCGTTTTTTTGGGTAAAAAGTTGCGTGGAAAAGGTGACCGAATTCCAGGGGTAAATACTCAGCTAAATGACTATATATCGCGGGCAACATATCAATGATCTATCAAGAAACATGAGATGCAAGGAGCACTGTGTAAGGTGTGGCTCGGTTCAGAAAGGAGCCCAGTGTGTTTAAATGTCATAGACTTGAGCTGCACAATAAACAAATTACACACACCAATATGCACACATATAGGGTTATATAAGGTATTTAGAGACTTTATGATGTGATGTAGTATTACAGAAATATTATTTATTAACAGTATTTAGCGTCGTGCCCGCGCACAACATGAGAGCTCCTCACATACCAGTTAGCCCAGCCCAAGTAAAACTTCCCGACGTGCTGGCGCCCACACACACCTAACAAAGTCAATGAAAGCCAGAATCTTTTCATTGTGTGTTCCATGATTATAGTCGAAATTGATTTCATCTCCCTGACGAATCTCATGAGTTATAGATGGTCTTAAATGAAGGAAAATAATTTAAAAAAAGAGAGGAAGTTGCTTACATCGGTTCTTGATTCGGCTCCAATCAGACTTTCATCGTGCGCATTGGAAGAAATTTGGGGCTTGCACCTAACTATTAAATGCATGAGCTCCCTCCGCCGAAGAAAGTGTAGGAATATTTCCTATGGATTCTTTGTTTGAGGTAACTCAATAACAATTGTTTCATTCATTCGTATCTATCCTCATTTTGTGACGGAGCGCCAGGGCCTTAATGACCTTGAAAACTCGTCACATGATATATGCTTACACAGCTATTACTAATTATTACCCATTTGTCATTACATCTTCATAATCATTATTGCCACCCAAGCTCCAGCATCCTTGTTTAATGCACATCCAAATAAAACTTGTGTCCTACTATTCGACAGAAAGAGCCCAGGATATGCTGGGAGTGAAATTTTGTGCCCTAAGAAGCTGTGCCTAAAGCTGTCCGAGGTGGCAACAGAAAAAGTGGTTGGAGGACTTCTCTTTGGCGAATGAGCGTGAGAGCCTTTACAATAGCTGGTTGTTTCCTGGTGGTGGGCCAAGGTCCATGGGCTCTCTTTTGAAGAGCCACTTGCTCATGTGCCGGCGTAGTCGGTAGTGCCTCGCATATTAGAGTGGCACGAGTTTTCTTGTGGCCGTTACGAGTGACGGTCGCGCAAATAAAATTGGTGTTTATCGGTTTGCAAGGTAGTTCTGTAGGTACCCTAGAGGATCTAGACGTTGGAGCTGACGCTGGGATATCGAATTTCTTTGCTTGATCCTTTTCCCTTTCTTTCGCCCTGCTGGAATCTAGTCGAGAGTTTGAGGGGATAGGAAGAAGGGGAGCAGCCTATGGGGCAGTGAATTGTCAGATGGCCTTGCAGAGGCATTTATGGATTTCTGTAGACTCGTACTTTACGATATCCTTCATGGAGCCCAAGAGAGCAGTCTTGAAACTGCTTATTTTGCAGGTACAAGTCATTATATGTCAGGTAACTGAGAGCCTAACCTGTGACAGGCGAAGTGCATGTAAATGAAGTAAAAGATAACTCGGTAAAACTAACTTAATTCCTATTTCTCCCGAAATTCGAGAACTATATACACTGTTCATGATTGACTTGATCTCTTGATCTCTAGATATAGACATGCGCTAGGAATAGAATAACCTGTGATTCTAAATGCAGAATGCAAGCACTGACCGAAGCAAACAATCCACGTATGTATGGACAGTCCCTATTTTTGACCCGGAAAGTTTCCCTGTCCAACATGTTCGGCAGTTACTCTTAGCCTTGGACATTATACGAGCGTGCCATGTTAGTTCACGACGCTGTCGTACTTCAATGATTTGGGCGAGTTCTGTGCAGAGAACCTCATTGGCGTTGTTCACGTTTCCAGTTGTATTTTCATGGTAGGATTCGGGGATTGCGCGTTTACCACGACATCTTGATGTAGTTTAGATTGAGATAGAGGTCTCGTCTTGTTCATTTACGTGCTAGGTACAGTAACTACCGTTGCACTCCTACCGGAGCTTAAGCACGGATGGGGTCGGGCTAGATCAGGTTTACTACAATTAAGTTCATCTACCTCGTCCCACCTAACTGACCGGACCACCTCAGACTTCACCTATGTGTTGAATCGTGTCAAGCCCAACCGTCCAGAGAACCCCCTTTTGGCGCGCCGAAGCGCAGGTTCCTCCTCAGCCTCGGCCACCACGCGCCCGAGCCCTTGACACCTTCGCCGTCTGTAACTTTTCCCTTAGATTCATTCGCAGCTTTGGCTCATCTCAGCATCTCCTCATCTCATCCAGGGGTCGTTTTCTTCACTGGAGGCCTCATCCAGTCGCCCACCAAGGCCTCCTCAGTTTGTATCCCCTTTTAGTTCCTTCATACAGCATCCCTCTGTCCTTCAGCCTATCTCGTTATTCCAGAAACTTTGTAGAATGTCCACCGCTCTGGCCTTGCCCCGTCGCTGCCGTACCCCTAACTGTGGAGGTCGAAAACGCAACTGAGAGCTCAAGACCGAGGCACCGGTGCCCCAGCCTTTGTCGAACGCTCTAGTTAGTATGCCGGCGAAAATTCGTACTTATTTCGTCGGTGGCGATTCGTCACAGGTCGAGTTGTTGGTGCCCTTGGCCGAGGTGAGGACGCATCTAAGGCCGGTATTTCGACCGTACCTTCACAGAGACTGGCAGTTGCGGAGGGTCGGACATCCTCTTGCTTCTTAGTTGGCGATTTGGCTTTTGGAGGTATGGGATTGCTTAGGTAGATGGTTAGATGATTGTGGAGAGGGCCGGGAGATGAGCTTGCCTGAGGATGAATTTCCAGAGAAATAGAAAATAAGATATTGAAGGTGTCAGTTGTTGTAATACAAACATCAGACAGGTTATAGGCTGACTGCCGATCGTATCTGCGGTGTAGATGGTTGATTTCGTTGAGTTGTGCAGTCATGAAATCTCTGCAACTCGGATTTTCGACCAAAAATGTGCCAACACCACTCCTCCCGATCGCCAACTCGACGAAAACTCTCAAATTCGCCCTTTGTCGTGACTGAATCTCGGCTCTGTGAGAATATTTCACTCCCAGGTTCGTAGAGGACACCACTGACAGGTGTTCAGCCTTCGTCCTCCCGTTGAGATAGAGGTGTCGGTAGGTGGGTATTGAATGAAATGCTAAAAGAACAGAGGCCTCTTTCCATCGTAGAGGCATGATTTTCAGTTGTGAAGTCCGTTGGAACAAGATTTCTGTTGTTGCAATCCCCGTCTATCGTTTATTTGTGTTGTGTTTATTATGTTCTTGGGCTGAGGTCCCAGATCTACATTGGGAAGAGGACCGGTGGAGCTGGCGGGGATCAATGCTTACAGGCCCAACTTATTCCAACCACATGAGCTTCACCTAAATGAGAAGAAGTGGAGAGCAAAATAGAAATTAGAATTGACTTAGTTGGATAGATCCTGTGCTCCTCGCCCGTCCCGTCACCCCTCACATCATCAAAGTGATAACTCCTGATATGTACTGAGAGCGAAAGACGAGTTCGCGAATACCTCTCAAAGTCGGCCGGTCCCTGCTACATGATTTTGAAGACTTCTTAGGCTTCACCAAGGCTAGTCGCACCCTAATAATACTTCTTCAGACTCCAGAACTCTGATTCCTCCATCAGAGGAACATCCTCTGCGGAGACGACGATTGCTAAATCGGCTCTTCTTGCCGCAGCCTTAGCCCGGGCTACTGCAATAAAGCCCTATTTCTCGATTAGGCAAGTGATATTGAGTAGCTCCAAGTTCACCAGTCCAGTTTCCGTGGGTCTGACGAGGCAGTCCCGAGAATCCGATCGGCGATGCCCTCTACAGTTTCAGTATCGCGTGGAAGCCTCGAACTCTGCCTGCGCATCTCTACATCTTTTATTTTATTTTTTCCATTAATATTGTGTTCAGCTACTCAGCTACGACAATGTGTCCGCACATCGTATGTATGTGTAAATTTCGTATCAGGCAAAAGCCCTACACCCCAGGGGCATGATACGGGTTTGTGATTCCTAAAGACTCACTACTACCTATCTAACCAGCTTTCTAGGCCGAGTGATTGCATGGAAAGAGGAAATCGAGAAAATTGCCTGGACAAAAAACGCCCTGCCCGCTTTCATATTCAACTGGTATAGAAATTCCAGACCCTCGACAGGGTTTAGCCCTCTCACTGTGAAGATTGCCCTGCGTAGCATCTCGTTACGCTTGTGGACTTGTAGAATTCCTCCCATCCGTCTTCTGCCAACTCAACCCGACTGCTTGGTAGTGGTTCATGTCTGGATATTCTCCATTGTCGCAGAGCCGTTTGGCACACTGCAAAGTGCCAAAGACGTCTTTCTCTTCCACAGATGCATCTGCAGTCAACATTTCTATGCCCCAATCTGACATGGTAGCCCTTGAAATTCCCGTGTTCTATCCTCGCTGCGATCATACGATGGAACGCCCATCTCGGCAATCCAAGCTCTGCTGGTCGTTTTCGTCCCATTAGGACGTCTAATTCTTCGTATCGCATTTGTCCTTTTTTCTGGCCACCAGGATTCCACAGCTTCTTCAGCCTGCTTTCGGAAGAACCGGTTCAGCGCTGCAAAGGTGGATTTCTGCTCACCCCTTGAGTCTGAGAGGTCTATCAGGGCTGCCTTGGCCAATTTGTCCGCCTGCTGGTGCCCGGTAATCCCAAAAGTATCCGTACATCGTCTAGAGCACTATTTCGGCTTACCAGGGGTGTGTGTCAGGTAATGTGGGTCTTCGATCTGCGACTAAGTTGACGGCCGCTAGCTTTCCGGTTGGATTCAAGTACGGTGAGGCGGCACAACTGCCAGCAGAGTCACCAACGTCCGCCGCCGCAACCCGTCCTTCAAATTGTGGCGTATTACGACCACTCCACTCATTATGGAAACATCCTGCGCGAGCGACGCGAAGTTTGAGATACCAGATATTGAAGATATTGTGATAGCGCGCCCAAGCAAGCGAGATGCCACCGTCGCGTCGCGGCGTCGCGGTAGTAAGAAGCCGAACGACGAACCCCACACGGCAGCGCCTCCATCGCCACGTAAGAAACGAGTGCGTTCGAGTAAAGCGCCGCCATCTGTTAAAGAGGCTACACAGCCGCCGCCGGGCTGGGCCGAGCTGTACGCGGTGGTCAAGGAGATGCGCGCCACTGGCAGGGCACAGCACGCACCCGTTGATAGCATGGGCTGCGAACGACTGGCGCAGGCCGATATGAGTCCGCGTGACCAGCGCTTCCAAACCCTCATTGCCCTCATGCTCTCATCGCAGACCAAAGACACTACCAACGCGGCCGCCATGCAGCGTCTTGCCACCGAGCTCCCAGCTCACGCGCCCGGCGCCCCGTACGGCCTCACACTCGAAAATATCCTCGCCGTCGCGCCCGCCCGTCTCAACGAGCTCATCTGGGCCGTGGGCTTCCACAACAACAAGACCAAGTACATCAAGGCGACCGCCGAAATCCTACGCGATCGCTGGAGCTCAGATATTCCCGACACCATTGCAGGCCTCGTTGAGCTGCCGGGTGTCGGGCCCAAGATGGCCTATCTCTGCATGAGCTGTGCCTGGGGACGCACCGAGGGCATCGGTGTCGATGTCCATGTGCACCGCATCACGAACCGCTGGCGCTGGCACAATACCAAGACGCCCGAAGAGACGCGACTCGCCTTGCAGGCTTGGTTGCCGCGCGACACATGGCACGAGATCAACTGGATGCTCGTCGGTCTCGGTCAGACTATCTGTCTACCCGTCGGCAAGAAGTGTGGAGAGTGTGCTCTTGCTGCCAAGTCCCTCTGTCCAGCCGCCGACAGCCGCCAACGCCCGCTGCCGAAGACGTCCGTACCAAAGGCCGAATCCTCGGAAATGCCTAAAATTAAGACTGAGGTCCTGGAAACGCTAGAGATCAAGCCCGACGTCTCAGAACTGACCAAAATCAAGACAGAGGCCTCAGAAACATCCAAGATCAAAATCGAGGTCTCGGAAGCTCACCAAGTCAAGACTGAGACGGTCTTGTCTCTACCTGCTCGTCGTCGTAGACAACCACCGGTACGCTACTACTAATAGGGGGTCACGATAATCATTTGTATACACTTCTTACCGCCACTTTCTATTCCCCTTGGGGCACGCTACAAAGATAGCTCCTACTAGCCCTCTGCAGTGGTTCAAGTCACTCGCATCCCGAAAATCTAGGATCGACTACTCAATTATCAATGAGGTAGATCTCATAGATGGTATTTCAATTTTTAATTCTGATGACTCGAGGTGGGAATTTAACCCCCACTTTCATTCAAATTTCTCATGAATCATTAGGAAAGTAATACACGTTGATCCGAATCTATTTAATCTATGTTACTAGTTCTGTCGTAGAACTTGACCTAATTTGACTCCATTCAGTATATGATGCGAGCACACATATTTCTGATTCTATGATTTACAAGAAGATACTCGCCTACTTTTATTCCTGAGTGACTATGGCTACTCAATAATAAAAAGAGTCAGGGAGGTTGTGAAAGGAGGTCAATTTCCCTCCTGGACAGCATCATAGGCGCTTCGGGAGAGAGCGTGTTTGTCTGTATATGTGATCAAAGAGACGCGCTTTCTCTTCACCACCGTCAGAATAAGAAGGCTTGGATATCTTCGTAGTGATGGAATTGCCGCAGCCATATATCAATCAAATTCAATTCGCTTGCCATAAAATGCACTTCCTCCCAATGCCTTGCCTCCAACGTATCCTAGGTAAATGCCCGTGACGATAGTTATAGGCCATCGTTGCCAGTCGCGGTCCCAATCTAGTGGAATAGGCACAGCACCGAGCCAGGCGCCCAAGAATGCGCCGACATAGGCGCCAAAAACCTCGTCAAGAGGATGTCGCAGGGCGGTGACAGAGAGCCACGCCGCACTGTCGAGGCCGTAAATGTAGACAAGAGGGAATATGGCGAGAAGAGCAAGATGCGCTGACATAAGCATAGTTTCGGCGAGATGACTTGTCAACGGCGCGCCGCAAAGTAACATTAACATGGTGATAAAGGGAACAGTCAATGCAGTTAGGATTAGAGCTATGAGTGTGGCCTAGTATACTGTGAGTATAGGTGTTGGGTGGAAGAAGATTGGGCCCTTACAGAAATACTTGGGACCTGCCATGTTGGCTTTGGAGAGGTGCGTTTGGCGCGCTTTGGCCGTGGAGCATTCGATCCGGCGACAGGTAGGCAAATTGCCGCATATGCAACCTGAAGTGCCGTCAGGGGAAGAAGAGTATTCTGGAGCGTATACTGCGGTGAAGCAACTAGATCTGTGAAGCTCATATAGTATGCTGAGAGCAGAAGAGCTGGGTGTGCTATGCGACCAATACAAGCAATTTTTGTAGGTACCAGCGTAACTGTCTCATGATTTTTCATGCTCTTGGCTTATCGAAGATTCTCTTGAATCAATAAGGTAATGGAAAGTTATTTACTCGGTGCTGAAATATTGACGGCTTTGCGCGAGTAATGTTAACTTGCGTTGCTTGGATGTCAGAGCGCGCCCGGACCCACAGCGCTTGCCCATATTCTCCTCTACGGTCAACTTGACCTTTCACCAATTTACATAATACATGTAAATAGATAAAGATTCTAGGAGCAACTTGCTTGTATAGTTTTAGATAATTCCAATCAATCTAAGTGCATCAATACCGAGCGATTAAAACTAGCTGCTAGTACTGATTCCAACTACGCTTAATTTGCTTGACCTTCCGTTTCCATGGGCACAGTGCTCGGGATCAGGTTCCGGAGCGATAAGTCATAGACAATATCCTCGATCTTCTTCACATTATACTTGATGCTGTCGCATCTCCGTCTCAATGAGTCATTCTTCAGATTCAGTAACTGAAACCCGGAATGTAATTCTTTGACAAATTTGCTAATCTGTAGTGGACGCTCATAATCGCCTAGGGTGACTGAATTTATAGCTAGACGAGCCAATTCCTCAATGAGAGAAATCAAAGAATGGAGATACTCTTCGATTGTTACGTGAAATAAATCAGACTCATTAAGGTTGACAGGTACTTTTGGGATCTTAGTAGGTGTATTGATGGTTAGTGCGAGAAAACAATTGACTTTACCGTTCATGATGATGCCGATTTCCTCAATAGTCAACAGTTTTCCAGGTGAGCCTTCATGGCCTTCTCGCCCCACACCCCCTAACCAAGCACAAAAAAGGATGTTAAAAATTAGATTCTGTATATCGCGAGTCCATAGTTGATTGTACCTAGGTTGCAGGTTAGGAAGAGTTTTGGGCAAGTGTTAGATCCCATGTAACCGACTTGTAATAAGGAGATTTGGAGGCGATAGTCGCGAGGGTCCCAACACTTTGCAACTCGAGTTTAATGGACTTTTCCGCCGCTTCAATCACGGATTTTACTGTGACAATATCAGCTTGAGTTACAAGCTTTGGGTTTCTAAAAACCTACACTGCGCACATGGAGTGGCATGGGAGCGTGATAAAATAGCCTGCGTAGTTCTGCCTTGTCGCTCCAAGGCTTGGGTGATATCTCTTAGTTGATCTCTCACGTTGGTGTCCTCGTCAATTTTGAGTTGAAGACTTTCGAATAGCGTCGGCGCTGCCATGGCTGGTTTGAAGGAGGGGCAAGAATTTCCTTAGGGCATAGTACAGGCATTTACCATCATGCTTTCTGCCTGTTAATGCACGGGAATCCACCATCCCTATTTAGCCTAGTAGTTTTGAATGAATTCTTCAAATCATCTCTTGAGCAAACAATGATTTTAGTGACGCAGTCATCATTTATAAACCCCTGCAGCGTGAATATTTACATTGACAATGGCAAAGGGAATGCCATCGCTCGATTCTAAAAGACTGCGCCTGGTAAAACTTGAAACGCTAGATTAAAGATTATTTTTGTTTAGTATTTTAACGTGACAGGCACAAGCCCAGCGTCCAGTGGGCCCTCTCATCGTGGAACTTGAGCTAACCATATTAGTTGTAACACTCATGCAGTGAATTTCTCCTTGACTACGTGTCCTATATAATCGTAGACTGGGAAAAAACAGTACTAAGAAATAATTTACATGTTGATGACACAACGCAGGTCATTAGGGAGCCGTCCACGGATCTCATCTAAAAAATATCAAACTATGTGAATATTAACGCGCGCTCGGAGACTCTTCTCGACACCTATCAGTGGTGTCTACCACGAACCTCCAGCTCTCACCGTAGAGTCTGCAGAGCTGAGATTGAGTAACAAAGTCCTCACTTCGGAGAGGATTCCCAATCGCTTTCGCGGTCTGTATCGTCTTCATCTCTCAACAAATCCCCCAATCACCATTATCATGAAGCTAACCACAATCAGATCAGATGGTAGGGTCGGAGCCATTCTAATCACCCATCCTTGATCACGGAGGAAAAGCTATACGATAAGTTTCCGGTGCGTACCCAGCATCCGATACGGAGATGGCGCATTGGCTCAAGTCGGCTTCGAATGTTACAAAGAAAGGAGATATAGATGAATATGCGCACCTCATGTGGTCCCGGTGTCTAGGCCTTTCCTGGCTGGGGCTGCAGGTTTTTTGAGACTTTTCCCGCGCACGCAGTTTCCATCGCTACCATTTTTTGGGGGTAGAAGGTTCCGTGGAAAAGGTGGCCGAATTCTACGGGTAAATACTGAGCTGAATGGCTATTCATCAAGGGGAATATATCTATGATCTTTCAAGTCAAAAAAGGGGAAAAGAGCACTGTACAAGGTGTGGCTTGGGTCAGAGAGGAGCCCAATGTGCTAGATAGTCATAGACTCAAGTAGTACAATAAACAAACACACACTGCTATTGGCTAAATGAATGGTATGGACTGCAGTCAGTTGCAAGATTCCCTCCAGCAAACAATTCGGTGTCCTACTCGGCATATTTATCGTGGGTCTAACCACCTGCCTAACACATAACGCAGAGAGAGCGCTGAGGCAAGGCCACATCGTAGGTTTACTTACACTCAACATCAAAGGCTTTTCGACGCTGTGATTCCTGGTAGGCCCATTTGTTGTTTTTTTGAAAACAGGCTTGACTTGACTGTCTCGTCGGGTGGGTAAGCTCTTTAGCTAGTAGTCGCTCAGTACGAGCAAAGCTGCATGGCGAAATTAGACTGCCACAGTCTCCCTCAGGGTTCCCATGTATCGTGAATCCTGTCCATGCACTAAATTCCTCTCCTTTTTAAGTTGATATTCTCTTATCGCAGGTTTAGATATACCGATGCTGTGGCGTCCACGAGGTTCGAGTCACTTCGGGAATACACTATCCCCTCTTTGGGAACCTTGGATAGAGCTCTATCGTGGAGCCGAATGGAGAAGATAATTTTTTTTTGCATCAGATTTTAATTGTGTATGCAGCTATCTAGCTATGACACAATATCAAAGAAAAGTACAGAATAGATGATTCATCGTTAAGGAAGAGCACTCATGCCTCGGATTTCATTTGCAAGTACCACTGCGAAGTTATGGTGGCTTTTTCTTCACCCTAAGTCAACCCTCATCCGTGAATACCCACCCAGGGGAACGTCTCAAAAACCCTGGGTTGTCCAGACATGCCTCCGTCATCTTTCAATTTTTCTCCGCGCGAAATATGGTCTGAGATATCTCCTTCCCAAGTAGAGTAGGTGCCCAGGCTACTCAAACCATACCGGAGAACACCACCAGGAGGCGGACCACGGCACCTTCCTTCGTCGGCTTGTTTTTATAGTGTCAGCTGCACTCTCGCAAGCGAAGTCTTGGCGCGCACAAACCCCAATTCGAAAAACTCCTTGCCAAAATTCGGAGTTTCACTCTCTTCGAAGTAATATCTTTCCTTTGCATCATCTTGTCAACTTGTCCTAATCCCTCTCACGTCCATTCCAAATAACTGTCTCCCAGATTTGTGCGCCACGCTTTGCTTCCTCCGTCGGGTATAAATATCGGCGTGGGCGTGTATCTGGTGACCAGCTGAAGTGACAGGTCTATTCCACCTATCCATGGGAAGATTCCAACTCGAATCCTCTTCAGGTCACTGATTTTCTTCCTTCAGATATCCATCTGGACGCTTAGTTATGCCAGTCTACTTTACGTACTTGCCACATCGGCCAAAGACACCCACCACACCACCGGAATACATTGGTATTGTCACACTAAGGACTCGTCTCCCGCCTCTCTGGATAGATTTTCAGCTTACCAAAAGTAGAGTTTCTGGAATCTCTTCTGCCACCTTTATGACATACCCAAGAAGGCTGACACGCGAGCACCCGACGAGTCACTGGATCTCCTTCCCGCCCCCCAAGGGACCATATATTCCAAGATCAAATGGCGCACTAGGATGGTGGTAAACTATAGATAGATTCAAGCCCCCCAGTAACTGGCGGAGTATCCATCATGCAAGCTGATCGAGTCGTTTTGAAAGACTCCTAACCTTCTGCCCCATGCAGGGAACCATCAACGCGGAAACAATTGTAGCGCACAAAGCGGTAGAACTAGCTCTACCTCCCCCATTTTCCCGCTTCGCCACAAGCTCTGGATCATTTTAGATAACCTCTATGTCGTCCAACAACTTTCTTTCGTGCCCATTTAACTCCTTGTTGTGATATGTGATAACGAGTTAGTGGAGGCTAAGGCATCGCGTGTGGCTCAAGGTCACAGATTATATCACTAGTGTACTGGTTGGGCGTGCATGTATATAATTTCATAGATGTACCCACAATAAATGGATACAGGTTTAGTCATATACTTTCTGTCCATATACCTAGAGCATTGTATTGTATGAGTCTATTCACTGTCACCCACTAAATATAACATCGTCCACTCCTCATCACTCCGCAATGTGACTTCCGCATAGCTCATAACCCAACACTTCCGCCAAGAAACCTCTATGAGCTTTGCAAATAATATAGAAGCCCGACAAATTATGCACTGTCTTCCTCACATCAACCTTGGCAAAGTCACAGTTCGCTGGGTCCCCGGAAATTCTAGCGTGCGGGGAACGACCCTGTAGATGGGGCTGCCAAAGAAGCCCTTTTTGAATCGATTGGTCCTAAGCTAATACCATATATCCACTATGCGTGCATGACCGGTGGAGCCGGCGGGCATCACTGCTTACAGGCCCAACTCATTCTAACCGCGGGAACTTCAACAAAGGGAGACGAAGTTAACAGCAAAACTAAAATTAAACATAAATCAAAGGACTAAAATCCAATTTGGAGGAATTCCTAGCGTGGCCCAGGCACCGCGCTTCTCGTCCGTTCGCCTTCCCCTCACATCTTTCAAATGACTTTCCCCAGTCTCCACTGGTAGCGAAAGATGAGCTCGCAGGTCTTCCTTGTGTCGGTCGGCGGCCTGCTCTATTTTGGCGGTGTCTTTGTAGAATCCACCAAGTCCTGGCGAATCTTCAGGAAAGAAGTTATCTGTTATTGTTGTTTTGTTAAAGTCCTGAGCCAAAGTGAAAGCTCTATGTCCTACAAAGGGTGCAGGGGGACTATTCTCAACACCTGTCAGTAGTGTCCCCTACAAACCTCCAGCTCTCACTGTAGAGTCTGCAGAGCCGAGATTGAATAACATCTCTTCAACTTTGAGCCGATTTATCTCTCCTTCCGTCAAAGATACGCTTCCAATAACACACAAGACGACCAAGACGACGATAATTATGCTGGAAATGAGAAAAGATATTGTGGCATCAAACGCTTCAACGGTAGTCAGAGAAGCCCTCGTCATGGCACAACATCTGCTACCCGCTGGCGGTCAAATCAAAAAGTCCACTAAAGCAGAATAATGGAACCTTGCGCCTTTAAGAAAAGTTGATTTCGACTCGTCAAATATATCGTCCCTTCTAACCCTTGATTCCTAATCTAATAGCCAGGAGGGCATCTGAAATGCATGAGTTACTCTACAACCCCACGTCCGTAACGACTTTTGGATGCTAGGCCAGGCTCCTTCACGGCAGTCACTCTCGACCAAGGTTTTCTGACATCCTTTCACGACCTTCAGTTCATCCTACGGCATGAATCAGGGGAGGAGAAGGCTAGGTAGGTTTAGAGATGCTCTTAGGTATACTCAGGTCTGCTGCGCTCGGCTGGTCGGCCTCTTCGTCATAGGAGAGTCCCGCACCTAGTGGTTTTTGAGACTTTTCCCTGCAGCTACACACCCGCAAATGACCACTATTTCGTCGGCTGAAGAAGGGGGGTAATGACGGTATAATGGCTCCTCGTAGTGTGTACTCGAATGAAGATCCATGGGGGTATTTCTGCTGGAAAGAAGTCATGACGGAGGTATAGATACTCCCGGCCTGTCAAGAGAAAGGACCCACATGTCCTCACAATGACATAAACTCGTTAGGACAATTAACACTCAAAAAGCCAGTCGGATTTCAGACTTAATGTGATTCCAATCAGGGGCGGTAGATAATTGGGTTTGTTGGGTTGTACAGCCGTGCAATCTCTGCGGGTAGGGGTCTAGGACCAAAATTTGCCATCGCCGCCTCGAAGGAAGTCCCCACTTAAACCCTTTGTCGCAACTGGATCTTTGCTCCAAAAAGAATGTTACCCCCCTCCCCCAGTTTCGTAGAGTGCTCCTCAGATAGTTGCTCCATCCTCGCCCTCCCTGGCA